AAGGCTCCTGACACTTGGCTTGCGGAAGCGCCCCGCAAAGCCGGTGAGACGCCAGGCGGGCTTAGGTACCACCCATGGATCAGGTTCCTCGGAAAGGTCTTGATCGGCGCATTCTGCAACCTGTCTGGCTTGGTGGGACTGCGTTCATGCGGCCTGGACAACCAGTCGGCCTCCACATTCCAGTTCCCCGGGATGTGCTGAGTGATCAGCCGCTTGATGCCGTGCTTGTCGCGTATCCAATTGATCACTGGCGAAGGTGATGACAAGCGCTTTGCCACTGCCAGCGCGACCACACTGTCGCTCCGCAAAATCACACTCTTCCCTTCCAACCTTGACCCCCATCGCCTGAATGCCAACTTGACTGCCCATGCTTCCAGCGGCCCTTGTGATGAAGATTCCTTCCATTCTACACCAAGCCACTTGGCGTCCTCTTCCAGCACGGGGATCTCCAGGGCCTCCAGGATCGTGAACGTCTGGCCTACGTTGCGATCCACCGTGGCCAGCAGCGCTCCAATGCCCTGCGGCGACGCGTCCGTCATGATGGCGAAGTCTGGAGGTCGTTCCTCCATGGGCTCAGTCCTCAGCGCCAACACCTCGATATCCTTGAAGAAGGTCATAAACCAGCGCCTTGGGAGCTCCAGCCGCTTGACTGACACCAAACCACGCTTCTTTTCTGCGTTCATCTTCTTCGGACCGTTTGGTGTCGGTGATCACAGCATACGTTATGCTGACTGCCCAGCGTGTTCTTGGTAGGATCCCCGCGACCCATGAGAGTCTACCTGTGACTTGTTGCACTTCTCGGAGGCTAATCGTTCCCTTGGATTCCCAAGACTCCAGGCTACTGCGAATCTCCTCCATCATCTTTTTCGGGACCGTGAGCTTAATCACCGCCGGTGCCTGGGCAACCTCAAACATCACTCCGATCCAGGTCAGCTGACTTCCTCTGGATCCTTTGTGCCATGCCAGGTTGATCCCTAGCGCACGGGCTGGTGCCATCAGGGATTGCCAAATCCTTGCGAGACACGCAGCGAAGCGTCCCATCAATAGAGGTGCCCTCGGAAGCCAAACAACATGGCGACCCACATGACCCGACTGATGAATGCCCGGTGACAGGCAATTGTGATGTTCATCAGGACAGGATGGCAAATGGACCGGTAGGTGGCAGTACGCGTCACTCAAGTCCGCCGTGAAGAGTGGTCGAAAGACGGTTCGCTCCTTGGAGGTTGAAGGGGGAGAAAACAGCAGGACAAAAGCAGCGCCCAGCTTCAAAGAGAGGATCCTTTGAGGCAGTCATGGACACCCTGCAGGGCAAGGATAAACTTCAGCAAGCCAGAGAGTCGCTCCGAGGTGACTTCTTGGCAAAATCATCCAAGCCAATACGTGAACGAGCTCAAGTTGATGCACGTGGAGGCAGGATACGATGTGAGCTTGCAGATGAACAAGCTGCTGACGGACTGCAAGAGATCCTTGAAGAGAAACCGGGGGCCGGTGAGACGATCTCCGGAGTTCAAGCTTGACGACGTCGAACAGCTCAAATGGATGCTTTGCAGCACTTCAGCGAAAGGCACCCTCAGACCTGCGCTATCCTATGCCTGGGCGATGATATGGATGCTAAGGGAAATCGAGGTGAGTGCGACGAGATGGAGAGATGTGACCATGTGCGAGTCCGGGAAGAGGATGACCATCTTCATCCCCCTCTCGAAGTGCGACCAGCAAGGTTCGGGTGTGAGGCGGACCTTGCAGTGTTGCGTGAATAAGAGCTGCTTCAGGTGGTGCTGTTGGAGAATTTGGGGGGAAATCTTCAAGGCCTACCGAGGCTGCCCTTCGTGATCCACAAGAGTATATCTTTCAGGACTCCCAGCAACGAAAGTTGTCGAAAGCCAAAATGGTGGAAGGGTGGGCTCGAGTCACAGACGAACACATACAAGGTCACTCGGCCCGAAGAACGGGGGCTATGAACTATGTCAGGTTGGGCATGCCAATACAAGAGTTAGCTTTCCTTGGCAGATGGAAGTCCTCGGTGGTTCTTTCCTATGCTGAGGACGCCCTGCAGTCGGAACCGGCAAACAGAAACATTGCGAACGGCAGCTCGGCGAAAAGCAAGAAGAGCTTGGTAGCTCCAGAGTCACGATCAAGCCCCGTGATCATCAGGGACTCCCTGAAGGACGTGGAAGGAAAGAATCTGGGCAAGGACCTAGTGGTGACTCAGCTACCTAAGAAATTGTGGGTGGCATCCACAGCTTACAACTCTCGTGAGAGAGTTTGGCATGAGGTGGAAGGTGCTAGCTGGGATGTGCCCATGGAGTCTTGGTCCTCGGTATGTGGCTGGCCCTTTAGCAGAAACTCCTCGAAAGTAGCCTTGCAATCACAATTGACATTGTCAAAGGAAATGCAGGAAGTGCCTGAAGAGAACTCGCGGCGAGGCCATGGAGGTGTTGGTGGCAAGTTCAATGGCAAAAGGCTGATGAACACAGGACTTGCGATAGAAGTCCCAAAAAATCCAACCAAAAGGTTCTTGCTTGGTGCTTGTTCTAGGAGGGTGGGAGGGCTGCTTTTCATGCCACTTGTTGTCGTAGAAGAACCAAGGGTACTGAGGGATACAAGAGTGGCTAATTTGAAAGAATGGAGGGAGGGGGGGATGACGTATGCTCTCCCGTCCTTTGAGTGAAGGCTCAAAGACAGAGCTTTCTTCTTTCTTTCCCACCCACCCACTCCTTTGTGTTTGATAAATGCGTTGGAGAGGTGTTGGTGGCAAGTTCAATGGCAAAAGGCTGATGAACAAAGGACTTGAGATAGAAGTCCAAAAGAAATCCAACCAAAAGGTTCTTGCTTGATGCTTGTTCTAGGAGGGTGGGAGGGTTGCTTTTCATGCCACTCGTTGTCCTATGATTATAGTATTGACATGTATTGACTGACCATGAAATTTATATAATGTTCTAAAAAGATGCATTTGTTTGAAATGTTTGAATTGTCTCCCATGAGCTGCTCTTATTGACTGCATACAAAAGTTTGAAGGAGTAAAACGTGCATTTGTCTGACATATTTCACTTGTCTTCCATGAGCTGCTCTGGGTAGTCTTCTGTGTTTGAGTATAGTTCATTATGAAATTTATGAACTCATTTTAACATGAGTTCATTAATTTTATGAAGTTCTCTGACTTCCTGAACTCATAAAAAATATATTTGATTACAGCAAAAAATTCAAGTATCATTTTTTATGAAGGCATACAGTTTTATAAACTCAGAAAACACAAAAAATACAAACATGTATCTAATACTAATCAAAAACATTTTTTATTTCAATAGAACTATATACTCAATTGAAGGTTTCATATTGGATTTCTCTACTGCACACATAAAGAAACAATATTTTAAATATATGAAGCCTTTTAGCTTGTAATGTCCCTTTATTTGAGATAACATAAGTTCATAATTTAATGTATTCATAATGGTATGATTTTGGAAATCAGAAAAGTGCGTTCATAATTGCATGAACTGTTGGGGATGTCAGAAAATCTACTTTTTGCGCGGTTGCTTTTGGTGTTTTTTTTAAAGTATGTATTTTTTTGTTTTATTCTTTTTTGATGCCATAATGTATTTAATACCAAAAATATCAAAAATACCAATCCTCTGGAGACATATAGGCCACCTGAGTAGTATTTCCTCTAGGTATTTTTTGTATTTTTGGTATTTCTTTGGTATTTTTGATATTTTTGGTATTTTTGGTATTTTTGATATTTTTGGTATTTTTGATATTTTTGGTATTTCCTCTAGGTCTTTGGCATTTTTGATATTTTTGATATTTTTGGTATTTCCTCTAGAGCTTTGGTATTCACATATTCTCACGTGCATAGGAACCACTTAAAATGTTTAGATTTTCATCTGCATAAGTAACACTGAAAAATACACACGCTCACAGCGCTGGTTTCTGAAAAAATAACAACGAGAACTAATATTTCAATCTGCTTTGAAGTGTCCGAACCCTCATGCTTTGCCATCCAAGGGGGTGTACGAGCCAGCCTCACAAAAAGTGAACATGTCATCCCAATCCTGATGCTCAACCCTTTGATCAGCCACAATGTAACTTGTTGAAACAAACCACCGTTCCACACTCACTTGGAGCCATCCAGACACTTGAGAGGCTGATGGCGAAAGCGGAGGCTGAGCCGAGGTGGACTATTGGCTTGATCGATTCTCATTCTGGTAATTCGTGTCAATTGGTGGACAACATTGTAGGAGATCTACCTGGAGATCTTCTTTGGTTGATTTGTTTGTTTTCTGCTCAGGTTGTGATCCTTTCCACACTCAGAGAATCCCTCACCACTATCCAGCAGTTTTGCATTGATGAATAGTAAAGTAATTACTGATATGAGGTACACCTGTCACTCTTAATATATCTATTTTGATCTATTTTGTGTTTATTGAAACATTCGCAAGGCGAGTTCTCTGTGTGTTTTCAACTTCATTACTTCAAGGATGACTCAAGGAATTGGTTCATTATCGAAAGCCACGGCCCGTTCATTGTACTTGCGATAAGTGTGGTGTCTGGTTGAAACATTTTTTCCGTGTATACATTGGGACACATATGCCGACCTGCCACTCTTTAGAACACACAGCTGCTTGGAATTGTTCGCTTGGAAGATCCTAGCACAGGTGAAAGACCTTCGCGAAGAGGCCGGACAAGGCGAGAGCATGAACCAGGCGGACAAGGCGGTGTTGATGCATGCGGTGTTGTTTCTTTCTGCAAAACACGGACAAGACGGACCCCAGCGAGGTTTTCAGGTTAGAGATTCATGCTGTGTTTGGTTTAGGTCTGAACTCTCCACTCAAAGTCCAATATTGTAATGCAACAGGTTCCAATCCAAGATGTTTTAATGCGTCCTTGCAACGAGATCTTCAAATTTTCTTGACACAATGCAATGCGACGAAAGATCATCCACCATCCTCGCCATCCTTTGAGCCCCATTGGCCCCGTTTCATGTCGCGTCATGTGGTTGCACCATGGGCGCCGGCGCCGGCGCTGGAGCCCGCGCCCGCGAGTACCTCGCGGAGGATGATGCCCTGCGGCGCGTCATCAAGGAGGACTTGCCCTGGGCGGAGGAGCTGCTCAGCCGCGCCCAGCGGTGCCTTGGTGCTGAGTTGCGGATACGTGACAGTTGGATAATTTTGGAAGTGTGGGTGTGACTGGGGATTGCAGCTGTTCAATTGCAAGTGGCTTTCATTCTGGGGTAAAAACTGTACGAGCAGCATGTGCTGGTGTCTCTTGAAGTAGCGTGGCCAGACTAGTCCATGCATACGACTATAGTACTGTACTGGTATAGTAGTGCGCTTCACATATCATCACGCAATTGTTCAGAGTCATCATAACCAAAGCCGTTTCTTTGGCGCTTGGAACAACATCGACTAGTCACTAGTCGTCGCTGTCACTGTTGGAACAACACCCAAGGCTATCAGAATTGGAAACAGTGTCACACTTATTCAGACAGAGACCAAATTGGTTTGAAACAGAATTCAACGACAATGAGAATTAGAAAACACGCAGAGTTCTTCATTGTTCAAGAAATACTTGTTCGTAGCGTCCAAGGATCCTGGCAGAGGCTGCCGAGGCTAAGCCCACGACGCCGGGACAGGCAGCCAAGGTCCACTTGACTGTCAGCGGCCCGGGTAAGGGGGCCTTTCGGCTTGACGTTGACAGAGATGCAACTGTGCCCTGGATAGATTCATTGTACCTCGAGGTTTTGGTGTGACTTTGTGTCGTTTTGCTGCCTTGGGGAATTTGCTTTTTGGAGGAGGTCTGACGTTTGACACAAGACGCACCCAAGGTGGAAGGCCTGTGCCGACAGATCGTGACAAAGACTGGCATGAGAGCAAGTCGAACACTCACCCTGACTTCGGGTGGCAAAGCTCTGGATGATTCGAAACCTTTGCTGCAACAAGTCACTGGGCAGGAGGTTGCCTTCACTTCGCGGCAAATTGGTGCTGGACAAGCAGCGCTGGCCTTGCACAAAGCCTTAGCAAAAAGGACACATGACCGTGCAGAAACGACAAAAGAAGACCTTTGTGCAGAAGATGTGAAGGCCATGGATGCCATTGAGTCACTGACATTTGGTTTCTATTTCAATCAAAGTATGGAGGGCATAACACTGCCAAGTGGCCTTCAGACTCTGACCTTTGGCGAAAAGTTCAACAAGAGTTTGAAAGGTCTCACATTGCCGAGCAGCCTTCTGAGTTTGACCCTCGGAGGCGATTTCAACCAGAGTTTGGAGGGTGTTGTGCTACCAAGCGGCTTGCTCAAGTTGAAGTTTGGCAAAGAGTTTGACAAGATCCTCGAGGGTGTTGTGCTTCCAAGCAGTCTGCAGGTTTTGTCTTTTGGTGAAAAGTTCAACCAAAGTTTGGCAGGCGTCGTCCTCCCAGGCAACCTCCAGACCTTGTGTTTTGGGCAAAAATACAACCAGAGCTTTGCGGGGACCACGCTACCTCATAGCCTGCAGACTCTAACCTTTGGGTGGAATTTCAACCAAAGCTTTGTCGGTGTCACACTGCCAAATAGCCTTGAGTCTTTGACCTTCAGCGGAGATTACAATCAAAGTCTGAAAGATGTCACGCTGCCAAGCAGCTTGAACACTTTAACCTTTGGCTATCAGTTTAACCAGAGCTTGGCTGGTATCATGTTGCCAAGCAGCCTTCAGACTTTGACCTTCGGCTGCATGTTCAACCAGAGCTTGGCAGGCGTCGCAGTGCCAAGTAGCCGGGAGACCCTGAGAGAAAACCTGAGCTTGAAGGGCATCTTACTGCCGAGCAGATTACAGACTTTGATCTTTGGGAAGAACTTCAACCAACGCTTGGAAGGGGTCATGCTGCCAAACAGCTTGGAGAGACTGACTTTTGGCAAAGGCTTCAACCAAGATTTGAGAGGTGTCCGGCTGCCAAGCAGCTTACGGACTTTGACCTTCAGTGGGGCCTTCAACCAGAGCTTGCAAGGCCTCACGCTGCCAGATAGCTTGCAGACCTTGACCTTTGGCGACGAGTTCAACCAAAGCTTGGCAGGTGTCACGCTGCCAAGCAACCTGCAGACTTTGACATTCGGCTGCAAGTTCAACCAAAGCTTGGCAGGTGTTAGATTGCCAACAGGCCTGCAGATCTTGACTTTTGGCGCTGATTTCAACCGAAGCTTGGACGACGGAGATTGGAGCGTGGAAGACAGAGCGCCCACTCCCACACTGCCAAACAGCCTACAGACCTTGACCTTCGGAGAAAGGTTTAACAAGAGCTTGGCAAATGTCACGATGCCAAGCAGCCTGCAGACTTTGACATTTGGCAAAGGTTTCAACCAAAGCTTGGTCGGTGTCAAGCTGCCAAACAGCCTACAGTCTTTGACTTTCGCTCATGGTTTCAACCAAAGCTTGGCACGTATGCTGCCGAGCAGCCTCCAGACTCTTACCTTTGGCAGTGGTTTCAACCAGAGCTTGGCAGGTGTCGCATTGCCAGGCGGCCTGCAGACTTTGAGTTTTGGGAAATGGTTCAACCAGAGTTTGGAGCGGGTCAAACTTCCAAGCAGCTTGCAAAATTTGACCTTTGGTGAAAAGTTCAACCAGAGCTTGTCACATGTCACGCTTCCGAACAGCCTGCAGACTTTGACTTTGGGAACTGGCTTCAACCAACGATTGGCGGGTGTGGCACTGCCAGGCAGCCTACAAACTTTGACGTTTGGCGATCATTTTGATCAGAGTTTGACCGGTATAATGCTGCCCAGCAGCTTGCAAACTTTAACCTTCGGTAGTGGGTTCAACCAAAGCCTGGCAGACGTCATGTTGCCAGGCAGCCTGCAGGTTTTGACATTTGGAGAACATTTCAATCAGAGCTTGGTTGAGGTAAGGCTGCCAAGCAGCCTGCACTCTTTGACATTCGGAACGGATTTCAACCGCAGTTTGGTTGGTGTCGCGCTGCCAAGCAGCTTGCAAACGCTCACATTTAGCTACAACTTCAACCAGAGCTTAGTTGGCGTCATGCTGCCAAGCAGCTTGCGCAGGTTCTGTCTTTGGCAAGTCACTGTTTGCATCGATTTGTGAAGTCTTGTCGGTGCTCCTCAGGCATTTGCTTGCAAACCCAGCCAAAACGTCGCAAAACAAAGCAACTCTTTGGCCATTGCACCAGACGACGATAGATCCGGGGCCGAACATGCTAAAACCCAGTGCCAATGTACCAAGAGATGAACACTATGACGACTGCCTTCGCGTGCACCAGGCGGTCGGCCTTCCATGGACCCTCCAAAAGGCCGGGAAAGACCGAACGGTCGGCGGCCGTGGCTTTGGCGAGTGGCTGGCGGTTTCGGCGTGGCACACCTTTGGCCACACCGTTTTCCTTGTCGGTTGGTTCGCTTAAAGAACGCATGCTTACGACGATTGTCTTTCTGTGTAGATGCACCAAAGGGCCGAGCTTTCCATCCGGGGTCAAATCGTGAATAGAACAGCTTAAAACCAGGTCAACGATATGTATTTTTTCTGGCATCTTACAGCAACATTTTGAGATTTATCCGTCTTGGATTCCTAGCGCAGATGTTCTATTTTTCTTACACGAGAAAAATAGAGAGAAAGTCAGTCTTTCGTTTTTTGTTTAAATCGTTTTTTCTCCTCAGCTCCACTGGCTCTTTTTCAGTTTCACCACGGTCCATTGGTCTGAACTCTCCACTCAAAGTCCAATATTGTAATGCAACAGGTTCCAATCCAAGATGTTTTAATGCGTCCTTGCAACGAGATCTTCAAATTTTCTTGACACAATGCAATGCGACGAAAGATCATCCACCATCCTCGCCATCCTTTGAGCCCCATTGGCCCCGTTTCATGTCGCGTCATGTGGTTGCACCATGGGCGCCGGCGCCGGCGCTGGAGCCCGCGCCCGCGAGTACCTCGCGGAGGATGATGCCCTGCGGCGCGTCATCAAGGAGGACTTGCCCTGGGCGGAGGAGCTGCTCAGCCGTGCTGAGCGGTGCCTTTGGCAGGATATTTGCGATCCTAGAAGAACGCTTTGAAGCGCCCGCCTTGCATCAAGAGTCAGACCTGAGCAGCACCTTGGAATCTGAGGCTTGTTGCAGACGCTAAAGCTGAAGGAGATGCGCCGCGGCTGAGTTTTCCTGTAGGAATCAAGCGGTTTCCGTGAAAGTCAATATGACGTGTGTGGGGTGGGCATTCCGCCTGGGTGCTAGTGGTGCTAGTTTTGACTAGTTTTGCTCGAGAAGGACATAGACCCCCGTGGAGATTCGAACTAACTCTGAGAACTAGCCACGCTCCTTTGCAAGTTTTTCTTCGTTCTTTTTCAAGCTTTGCGTGAGTCAAGCCTTTGCCTTTGGCAGTTCGGCAAATGCTTGTGGCATGTTTATCTCTGGTTTTCGTTGTTCTCCGCATGCTCAGGGATCGAAGGAGGATCCTAAGAACGAGGAGCATGAAAACAATGAGGCCTGCAGGGGTTTTCATTTTTTCAGTTTTCGGGCAACTGAGATGCTTTAGGAGCCTCGGTGTCAATTCATTTGGGAGAGAGGTGCCAGCAACAAGGTGTTAATTGTAGAGCGCGCGCAACAAAACGGCCAATTTTGTATTCAATCAAAAGAGGCGTGCGTGATGCAATGGCACTCTGGTAGGGTGGGACAACGGCTGTTTTGCCCCCCCTAGGTGTAACTCACAGTGCAGTTATTCAATCGGGCATCGCGTGATATTGAAAAACGTGCACTCACACAACCAAAAAGAACCTTCCCACCTGGCCTGCAGGCGCCTGCAAAGAATAAGAACATCGAGTTGAACGTCTACGGCTTGGGTGGGTTGACGGATGGCTTGAAGTTTCACCTTGCAGTTGAACCTGCTGAGACAGTGGCTCTGTACATCATCAAAGACGCCTATTTTTATTTGACTACTATTGTTTATGGTTTGCGTCTTGTTCCTTGGAAAGGATTTCCAGGGCATCCTTGGCATCCTTTGCGCTGGATTTGCAGTGTGTCTCCGCTTGTCGGTGGTTGGGTTGGTTGTTTGGCATTGTTTGCCCCGCCCTTGTCATGCTCTTGTTTTCTGCCTGTCCTTTTCCCTGCGTGTCCAGGAGAAGGTCAAAACTCTGTTGTCGCATCTTTGGTTTTGCTGGGAAGTTGTGTCCAGTCTCCAGCGGTCCTGATTGTCGAGTTGTCTCTTCGGTGGTCGGTTGCGTGACTTGGTCAGGTTAGGGCGGTCGCGCCGGCAGCTTTGTCCGGTTTGGTTGTGCTCGCGTTAGGGTTTCTCTTTGTGTTTGGCTTCATGTCTCTGCCTGTACTGTGTGGTTGCCTGGGACCATACTTGTGCGATTTTGGTGTTTTGGTTCCTGGGGCAAGTGCTGTATGGAAAGAATGCAAAGGGATGAGTTTTGTGACATGAAACGCGCCGCGAGGTGGAAAATCTATCCAAAAGAATAGCCGCGAGCAGCGGCTTCAGTGATCGCACGCTGCTTCTGACGTCAGGTGGCAATGTGCTAGATCATTCCAAACCTTTGCTGCAACAACTCACTGGTGAAGAGGTCACGACGGTCACGAATCTTGCTCGGCAAGTTGTTGGTGTTGCCGTAGTTGACTGCAGCGCGGCTCACCTCTCAGTCCGGCTGCCGCTCAGGACGACTTCATCTTCGAAGCCGCTCCCAGGCGAAAGTGTGAAGTTGAAAGTCCAGGGCCCCCAGGGCCTCACCTCTCAGCTTGAAGTGGACTGTACTACTACCGCAGCTTTGACATTGTTAGGTGCATTTGTTTTCCTTTCTGCTGGGCTTTCTGTTGTTGATGCTTTTGCATGTGTTTTTGTTTATTTAGCTGAGAAGGTATATTTTCGTTGTGACGTGAAATGCGCCCAAGGTGGAGGATCTATTCAAAAGAATAGCCACAAGGAGAGGCAGCATGAAGAATGGAATTCTGACCTCAGGTGGCAAGGTGCTTGATAATTCTAAGCCACTCCTGGACCAAGTTCACGATGACAAGGTCACATACATGGCTCGATTTGGGGCCGGCGAGGCATCTTTTGCCTTGCACAAAGCCCTGGACCAAAACTCCAGGGCTACATCAGGACCTGAAGGAATAGCAGAAGACAACCATCGTGAACCTCACGCGGATGATGCAACAAGCATAAACGCCACAGATGCAATTGCCTCATTGTCATTCGGGCCCTATTTCGACCAAAGCTTGGCAGGCGTCACATTGCAAGGGCTTCAGACTTTGTCCTTCGGAGATGCCTTCAACAAGAGATTGGATTTTGCAATGCTCGGCAGCCTGCAGTCGTTGACTTTTGGAAAATATTTCGACCAAACCTTGCGGGGTGTCCAGCTGCCACACACACTCTTGAATTTGAAGTTTGGCATCAAGTTTAACCAGAGCTTGGAAGGGGTCGAGCTGCCAGACAAGCTTCAGACTCTGACATTCGGCGATGAGTTTGACCAGAGTCTTGCAAGTGTCAAGCTGCCAAGCAGCCTCCAGATATTGACTTTCGGCCGTGCTTTCAACCAGAGCTTGGCTGACGTCGCGCTGCCAGACAAGTTGGAGACCCTAACATTTGGGGACTGTTTCAACCAGAGCTTGGTTGATGTAAGCCTGCCAAAGAGCCTACAGACCTTGACCTTTGGCTTTCAATTCACTCAGAGCTTGGTTGGGGTCCGGCTGCCAAAACTGAAGACCTTGAGCTTTGGCTTCGGGTTTAATCGGAGCTTGAATGAGGTCAGACTTCCAAAAAGCCTTCATATTTTGACCTGTGGCAGCATGTTCTACCAGAGTTTGGCCGGTTGTCAGCCGGGAAACAGCCATGATACCTTGAGCGTGAATCTGACCTCGAAAGGTGCCGTTTTGCCAGACCACTTGCGGACTTTGGTGCTTGGCCACAAGTTCAACCGAAGCTTGGAAGGTGTACGGCTTCCAGACACCCTGCAGATCCTGATATTTGGCTCAGGTTTTAACCAGAGGTTGGATGGGATTAAGCTGCCGAGCAGACTGCAGACCTTGACCTTTGGTGAACAGTTTAACCAGTCCTTGGTTGGCGTCACCCTGCCGAGCAGCCTCCAGACCTTGAATTTCGGAACGGAGTTCAACCATAGTTTGGGGCCTCCTTTCAAGCTTCCAAGCAGCTTGCAGACTTTGACCTTCGGTGAAAAGTTCAACCAGAGCTTGACACCTGTTGCATTTGTGCAAACATGCCTGCAGACTTTGACGTTGGGCCAAACTTTCAACCAAAGTTTCAGTGGTGTGGCGCTGCCTGGCAGTATGCAAACTTTGATTTTTGGCAAACATTTCAACCGGAGCTTTGCTCGTGTGTCACTGCCAAAAATGCTGCAGACCTTGACCTTTGGCGAAAAGTTCAACCAGCGCTTGGCTAATGTCAGGCTGCCGAGCGGCCTGCAGACATTGATCTTCGGCAGCGCTTTCAACCGGAGCTTGGCTGATGTCACGCTGCCCGACAAGTTGCAGACCCTAACATTTGGGGACGGTTTCAACCAGTGCTTGGTTGATGTAAGGTTGCCAAAGAGCCTACAGACTTTGACATTCGGGACGCACTTCAATCGCAGTTTGGTTGGTGTTAAATTGCCACCTGCGCTGCAGACGTTGTCCTTCGGTGCGGGCTTCAACAAGAGTCTGTTGCTTACTCAGCTACCAAGCAGCATCCAAAACCTAATCTTTGGCTACAAGTTTGACCAGAGCTTGGAAGGGGTCGAGCTGCCAGACAAACTTCAGACTCTGACATTCGGCAATGAGTTTGACCAGAGCCTTAGTAGTGTCAAGCTTCCAAGCGGCCTGCAGACATTGACTTTCGGCAGTGCTTTCAACCAGAGCTTGGCTGACGTCGCGCTGCCAGGCAAGTTGGAGACCCTAACACTTGGGGACTGTTTCAACCAGAGCTTGGTTAATGTAAGCCTACCAAAGAGCTTACAGACTTTGACATTCGGGACGAACTTCAACCGCAGTTTGGTTGGTGTTGCGCTGCCGAGCAGACTCCAAATAATGAGATTTGGCTACGAGTTCAAGTTCGACCGGAGTTTGGAAAGGGCTGAGCTGCCAAGCAGCATACGTCGGTTTTGTGTGCCGCAAGTCACTGTATGCCTTCACTTGTGCTTTGAGGTTCGATCTATTCGACCGAAAGCCGAATCGCTGTGATCGACTCTGTTGTGTGGCTGTACTGAAAACTGACAGCCAAAGAGTCATAGCTCCCCTGTCGGCCACGGGAGAAACATAATCCCAAAGCGCCCTGTTTGACATCCTGATAACATCCCGATGACCATGGGGGATTCCATGTCGACTCTGGGGGAGTTCAGCAACTCTTGGGGCATACGTTGAAACCTCCTGGTGCAATTGGTCCATCGTCATGGCGCTGAAGAGTCGAGTTGAGACTCGTCACCGAAGACTGAGCGTGTCGCTTGCAGGATCGGTATGGCCCACATGATGTTTCACCTAGAAACCTAGAAGAACCCATTTGTGTACATTTGTATACATGGTTTTAAGTCCTGTTGAAAGAGACCACTGAGATCCGCATTTGTTACGACGATGCTTAGCTCGTTTGCTCGGTTCGCTTTTGTCGGGAAGGTTCGATGCCATTCCCACCTTCCCCAACGTGGGCAAGGTGGGTGCAGCTCAGGCCGAAACGACACTTCTGAAACGACGGTCAGTTGTGTTCTCCCGAGACAGTGTCCAGGTTTCCTGGTCAGAAGGGCTCGAAGTTTGCGGAAAAAAGACAACAGACTGACACAATGAATCTGACTAGAAAAAGCATATTGTGAGAGCAGATCACATGCGGAGCGTTGACATTCATGTTCCTGACTCTATGCGTGAACGGGTGTGTAGTGTGATCGTTGCCTCTTGAGCTGATATATTGTTGGAACCCATGCTCCTGTCACATGGTGCTTGTCCCTCACGTAAGATCTAGAGTAATCATAAGCTGCGCAAAGCAGCACCCAGTGGAATGCCACCTTGAAAAGTGGTGGAACATGCGCTTAATAAATCTTCCTGACTGACCGCTAATCACCATAGCAAACGACTCCAAGTATATTGGCGCAATAAGGAATGTCTCAGGTGAGTCGCGAGACAAAGAGTGGATCCATTGATAGTTCAAGCTCTCTTGGACAGATTTGGGTAGGCCTAAAGTCAAACATGTCCAAACCGATTGATCCAAAGAAGAAGACTCAATAGTTGCAGTGAAACAGCTTGGAGTAGCGCTGAGTAAGCCGAAGCAATGTGAAATCTGGAGTAGCATGGCATAGCAGCATAGCCTTAGACCCATGAGCAGCGGGAGTGGCCCGCGACCAATCATGGTGGACGTGCAGCAAGAAACTAGCCTCACGGGCTACCCTTTGTCCAACAATCATGGGAAGTTTCCCTTTAGAATTCTACGAACTTCTCTACAAACAAAGGTTTTACACAAAGTCATGATGATGGTGCATGGAGCGTCCCCCAAAAACGGGATTTGGTGGTTGAAGAGAAAGTGTCCCGCAGGTGGACAGAAGAAACTCGGAGAAGTTCATCGGATTCTTCTAGACCGCGGACCAACCCCACAGTCTGCGTCGTGCTGCCCGGAGTGACGGCATTTCACCCGAGTAGCTTCAACGCGTGAGAGCCCGGCCAAAAAATGTGAGATGGACTCTGTGGACAACCTTGAGCAGATGGCCATTCTTGAGGATGCTGAGCTCCATGTGGCTGTCCATGGAAAGTTGTATGGACATTGCTTCATGGCATTGAGGTATGCCAATGGTGTTTTCTTCATGTTGTTGAGAATGGCCAGCAGCCCGTTCCCTAGGGAGGTTGATCCTGAATGGATGGAAAGCAGGTAGTTGTAGCCAAAGACAGACACTAAGTCCTTTTTAAAAGCTATCAGATATCAACGTGCAGTGCATTTGCATCGTGTTGCTCCCGAACGTGGCTGTGCTACAACTTGCAAGACAGCGAGGTGAGAGGTGAAAAACGCTGGCTCCAGCCGACCTGGTTTGCGCACAGAGCATTGTTTTGATATTGGTTAATGCATCACTAGCCGCTCCAGAAGCTGTTGCTAACATGGTGAACTTGAAGTGAGCTTGGCAGGTGTTGCAATTCTTTCAAACGAACAAATTGAAATGTCCATGATTTACTTGCAGAACCATTTACTGTTTGTGTCACCATTGAGTCTTGCAAGCTTTCTCAAACGACCTCTGCATACATCATTTCGCCTTCCGCCAGCAACAGCCTTTGTATGGAACGGCTGCGTATCACAACACAACCGAATAGGTGTTCTACTCGAAGGCAACTTTTAATTGATCCGCAGGAGTTTTGATGACCTTTTGAAGTGTGGGTTCTTGTTACTAGCGATAGCCCTGTGCCAGCTTGGCTATGGGGCTGGCTGAACAGAGACATAATCAAAAGAGCTGGTGACACAGTGAACTGTTGCAAACACTTCTATGTCTAACTCATGTCTTACCTTTGAGGAACTGGCGCCACAAATAACTGATGGGCTCTCTTTTGACGCAGGGTTTGTCCATACTTGCATCTCCCCATGCCTTTGATTTATTGATAAGTTGATCGTCGTTGTATGAACCATGCTGCCTCCAGGTGTTGGAATCCTCCATGTTTGGCTGAGATCGGAAACAACTTCAATTCTTTGGGATGATCGCCCGGAACATTGGACCATACTTGTACTGTGTACTGTATTGGAGCACATGCCATCACAATTTGAATCTGAATGTCGCTATGGCCTCCTCGTCCTCGTGTTCCTCGTGTTCCTCGGTGAAGGCAAGCGCGTCGACCTTAGTACCTGTTTTTCCTTCGTTCCTGTGGTCTCCGGGTTGCGAGGCATCGAAGATCCACGAGCTTGTGGAACGATGTGCCTTGGTTGATTTGTGGACGGAAAGGACCGAGAAGTCAAGAATCCAAAGCAAACCAACAAGGCATAGGTCCATAGGTTTCGCAAAAGAGAACCGAACTTTTCAAGCCATGTTTTCCACCACGCCCCAGATTTTGAACCTTCCAGGCTGTCCACATCTGCGGACGAGCGCACGGGTGCCCGGCCTGCCTGGTGGATGCATCCGTGGGCAAACCAGATTTGGTTCTTGGTTGGTCGCTTGCCACGCTCGTGATTGTTTAGCATTTTCCTTTGTTTTGCCATTCATTCACACTACAATCAATCGCCACAAGTCACGGGGAAATCATGCTTGGCCGCCATGTCACTGCAATCCTTTGACCTCTCGAGATAGTGCAAAACTGGGCTGAGCGGTGGGCAAGTGAATTTGGTAATCGCACAGAGCCAAAGAAGTTACGGCCAAGAAACGAGTGGCAGTAGTGCAGCTCAAGTCCACGGAAATGCCCGAGTCAATATAAGGTTGAGCACTGGCTGCGCATCTACCGCGACCCACAACTTCTTTTTGACTCTTTGCAGCGGGAGTATGACCAAAGCTTGGAAGAGGCGGGATCAGACTGGAGTTGTAGGGAGCGTGTATTGTGGAGCTACTTGAGTTGCTACCAGTAACAAGGGCATCGCTACTAGTAACAAGGGCATTACTACTAGAAGCTTGAAGCTACTAAAGCTGCCAACATGTCAAGCAACTTCCCCAGATGGGTAGAGCTACGCATTCTTTCACGGGCTGATGCCGCACTCCAGAGCCACCCGTGAGACTTGTCAACCTGTTAGGTGCCAGACGACAGGCTGGGGGAAATGCGCGTCGTTGGGTGATGAGGGGCTCCTACAAGGTCTTTTTGTTGGCAGGATTTTTCGCTACAACAAACAGTCACTTCAAGGCCAACTTGGACATTTTGACAAACATCGAAATCTGAAGGTTGCGCCCCATATTTCCGATGTTCTTTTCATGCCAAATCTGAAAGTGCACACTTTGGCTATATAATTGGGAGTCCTACCTCGACATCCGGCTCATTCCAAGCTAAGCGTTTCCTGCCAGTGATGAAGAAGTCATCAAGGTGATGGAAGGCTGGGCAGGCGGGAGTTGTGAGAGCCCTCCTGCGCTGGCGATGTTGTTTCCAACATGTTTTTCTTTAAGCCAAAAGCCATTCTATCCGCTGGGGTCATGTGGTTCTGCAAATGTCCCCAGAAATGTTGAGAGATAGTGAGAGACAAGGATATATTTCCTGCTCTTGGCCATGGTTCGGCAAAGACGCCTGCTGGTCCCACAGGCAAAGAAGACGAAGGAAGAATGCGGGAAAAGCCGCGCAGGTACAAGGCAAGAGGGCGAGTGGAGGTCAGGGTTTAATTGAACTGTAAGAGTGTAATTTGTCGCCTATCGCCTTTTGGGTGTTCGTCGAGAGAAGGGCTACACCTTGGCTGCCAGGGAAAGCTTTGCGAGGCCAGGTGGGTTTGCATCGGAAAGTGTGTGGGGCCAACGTGCAATGCTTGCATTGTGGTGCAATGATTGGTTTGAGGAACACTCTTACTCTTTCCCTGCCAAGTTTTCAATCCTGTCTTGGAATTGCATCTTGCTGATCAGCGTGAGCATATATTCAATTTTGTTCTGAGCGACTCCTTCGCTTTACGGAAAGACTCGCGAGTGTTCTGAAGAATTCAGAGGCATGAACGTGGCCATTCTGTTGAATTCTGAAGCTGGCCCACAGCCTCAAGCTACAGGGCGGCTGCATACATTTGCTCATGAATTTAAGTACAGTGGTTGCGACAGAATCCATGGCTAACATCTTACTACCATGAGCTATGAGCTGACAGGGCTTCACTATGCAAAAGCTTTGAAGCGGTGCCTGCTAGAAGCCACTGCCACTGCCAATTCTTCATTTTGCAGCGTTCTGTAGTATATACTTCATAGGGATTCAAGCCCTTGCCAACACGGAAACCACGTGGTCACGAGCAAGCAACATCCAGATTATCGTCGCAAGTCCCTGAACAAGGACAGCACAGGCCCGGGTAATTTAGCCCGTGCCCACCAGCTTCCATGTGTTCCTGTCCGAAGGCTCAGGAGGAAGCGGCGGACTGGAAATTGCGGTTCTACTAAAATAACAGCCTCACAAGGAAAGGCGTGTTCTTTTGGAGGTTTGCCTCGCCATCATCCAAGGATTTTACTTACTGTAGATGTGCCTGGGAGCAACGCTCTTGCTTGTTCGACATATGCAGGGTTCACAGGAGCATAGGTCTTGAGGCACCAGGTACACCATAGTTCCGTCGTGGCGATCCATGAGTTTCATTTTGAGGTGGGGAATGCACAGCCGGCCAGTCACGCGCCATCGGCCCAGTTCAAGGCCTTGTGCTTTGCTTTTGTCTGGCGGGTTGACAATGGCAACAAGCGTTTTAAAGAAATAAGGTTCAGGTTGTTTGAATTGAATTGACCAAGACCTCGAAGTTGCTTGGCAGTTGTTTCCAGTGTCTACCGAAGGTGTTTGAAGGCCATGTCAATGCAGTCTCGGCAGTCTAAATTCAAACAAAGGTTTTTTGGGCTTCGAGTTCAAGACGATCCCTCACTGAGTTGTTCTGAAGGTTTTGGTTAACTTTGGATCAATATAGAGATTTCGACTCACAGAACTGAGTGTGTGTGTGTCACCCTTGGAGTCATAGGGATGCTTTTGCATTTGTTTCTTTTACAGCAGGGGGTAGCGGCAGATCACTTGGGACCGCTACCAACGAAGACGCCCATTTGATCTGGTGAAATCAGAGTTGGCCACTCTGACGTACCTGCTTGAATTTTCAACGGAATGGCAAGAGGCTAAGCCCAGAACCTCAAGACATGGTGTTGCATAGGGCTTTGGTTTTGATTTGCAGATGTGAGCGGACGACGTCATTCTGTCGGTCGATCGTTCGGTGGCTTATTCAGACTTTATGGCCTCGCTGAACTTGTTAGACCTCCTCTTCCTTTTCAGG